GACAGTTGGGCAAGAGAGCTGGAAGCAGGAGAGTACGAGGTCGAGGAGATTTTTGGAGCCTGCACTGGAAAGAAAACACGTTGCGGGGGACAACAACGAAAGCTCCTCGTCCGATGAAAAGGACATGAAGACCCCTCGAGGGGTGGATGAAGTGAATTTAAATTGTGGAGCCTTACTTTGGAATTTAGAACGCATAGAGACAAGGAGGAATCGTTTTAAGGCGATGCAAAATCATGAGGATTAGTGGCCGAAGCTGGGGGTCTTGGATGGTCGACCAGAGTCTATAGTGGGTAGACCTCGGTCTTTTGAGGTAGACCTTGGTCCATCATTGGTAGACCTTGGTCTTTCGAAGTTTGCCCTCGTATAACATTGGTCGACCATGGTCTTTTGGAAGTCAACTCTCGGTTTTCAGGATGATGAAGAAAAGAAGGTGAGAAACGAAGGTGACATGGGGTTTGAAGGTAGAGGGGAGTATTGATATATGAAGAAGACCGAGAAGAAAACGAACGCAAGTTTATTCATGTGGAGAATCCAAAGTAGTAGAGACAAACTTGCTCTGGATGTGCGGTACCGAGTGCCCAGGATGAGGCTCCGACAAAAGCCGATAATGGGTGACACAAAGGTGTGTGAAGTCGGATGTCTCCAGAGCTTCCAGCAAGTTGGCGGGATCCGACCTGGAAACCAGTACACCACGCAGCGTGGTCGGGGAAGGTGTTGGAAGATGGGTCAAGCAGGATGTCGATGTCTCACCGACATTTGCTCGTTCCTTGTAAGATCATGTTGACGACCCCTCGCCATGCCCGAATTGCCCGACCACGACGCTTCTTTTGTGCGTTATAATACGATGCGAGGGAAGTTGCTGGCGCGCGTTTGGTCTCCAGAGATCCATATGAAGTGGTTGGCCTCCCAAAAAACTCGCCTGGCTGTGATCCTCGTCGAAACGCATGTAGGCCGCCTCCAGTTCCGCAAACCATCCCACTGTCTGAAAGAACACAGATGGGGTCGAGACTCGTGCGGACAACCATGGCCGGGTAACCAGCAGGCTCTTGAGCATGGAGGAGCTGACAAGTGATAGTTTCCACTTGGAAGGTCGATTTCTTCCCCGTCTGGTGGACCGAACGAGTCCCAAGGCAGCTCTAGGCGGTCGACCAAGTCACTAGAAGCCATCCCTACGATACTCAAAGAGCTCGCCAGGTCGACCGACCAAAGCGCCAGTTCCGCGGCGGTGAATGGTCTCACCTGCGTATACCCAGGGATGACCTCACCCTTTGGAAGCGCAGGCGACCCACCCGGGTGGAGTCTGTCGTCGCAACCGTGACGGGGCCTTCTTTTCTGGGACTGAATCGGTGTTTGACTCCTCAGACTCGAACATAGCCCGGAACAACGATGGGCTGGGGGTAAAGACGAGTCTTAGGAATAAGTAGTCGAAATAACTGGGACCGATTGTCTTGTCGATGCGGAGTGTCGACTTAAAGACCGCGACCAAGCTAGGGTCGCCCGGGCTACTTTTCTATCGTCGCTTGAGTCATCCTTTGGGTCTGGAGAAGGGACAGGAGGCAGTCTATGGGAGGTCCCAAGCGCGTGCGTAGATGAAGACGGGGTGCTAACATCGCTGGACTTGAAGACCTTGGTGGCTACCGTTTTATCTGATGGCCGTGGACGCTTACCCGACGCAGGGGTAGTAGGTACCTTGGTACCAGCCACTTGGGAGCCCACGGGTCATTTGCGGATTCGAGGCGTAATCGGCGTGGTCCAGCTCCGCCACCAGGAGAGAATATTGGCTTCGGCGGTAATCAATCTGCTATTAAAGGTGATCCACCAACATCCTCTCGTGTTGAAGACCCTCACGCAACTGGACTACGAGGGCGTTGGTGTCGAGCAGCTCTCTCTCGAGGCGCTCACACCTGGCAGTCCAGTAGGCGTCGGAGGCGGAGACTGGAGCTAGTCGACCCTCACACGCCTCGGGTCGACGGTCATGCGCGGTTATGCTGACCTGTAGGTGGAGCAGAGCTTGGTGCACGTCTACGGATCTATCAAACTTAGTCGAAGGATCGCTCGACAAGGTGACAGACGGAACGCAAGCGACCTGTGGACTCACGAGGCCGACAGCGGCAGTGGATCTGGAGGTAGACAAAAGGTCATCCACGACTGGTAGACCCTCGTCACCAACAGATTCAGAAAATACCGTCGTAGCCGTCTCTAGCCCGGGTGCCTCGGGAGAACTGCCTATCGGCGACGAAGTGGGGATCTGGAACTCTGGGTCAGTAGCGAGTGCAGGAGCGACTAGGACCGGTCCCTCAGGCGGCGGGTCTACCCCAGAGGGAGAAACAGCTAAGGTCACATCGAGTCAGACAATAGATATCAAACGCCAAACAATCTAGAGTACTTACGGGATGAAGAAGTCGAAGACATGCTTGTGCTCAAGCGGCTGTACCGTTGACCAAGTGCAGAGGGCGGCTGTGGTGAAGCGTTTTAAAAATGGGACGCCTAAGGACCAGTGGGCCAAAGAGAACGGAGCTAGCCAATAAGAACCGACCGTTGGGTAACGGACAGAGAGAAAGGACGCCAAAAAGGGGAGAAACAACCTTTGTTGGGAAAATTTCACGGTTAAAGCCCACTAGTTGGCCACCATTCAAAGGAGTTAACCGCGGTTCAGCCCGGTTGGCCGCGGTTCCTCAAGGTAGACAACGGTCCTTCAAGGTCGACCCTGGTCTATCATTGGTAGAACTCAGTCTTTCAAGGTCAAACATGGTCTATTGTTGGTAGAACTTGGTCTTTCATCATGGCAGAACTCGATCTTTGGTCGATGAAACCTCGACCCCTGTGTCTGGAGGTCTACCTTGGTCCTTCGTCAATAGACCTTTGTGGTGACCCTCGGTCCTTGGGCGGTCGACCTCGGTCCAGGGGTCCAGCTACCCTAGCCAATCAGAATCAAGAATCAGGTCTCGGGACAAAGATAAAGTAAAGGAGTTAAAAGATAGGACTAGATCAAATACCACTTAATTTGCAATCTACGTGGCACGCCTTCGTCGTGCTTATAAGGAACTTGTGTAAGTCTACCCACCTCTTCCGGGAAGGGATATATTTTGGCCCCCATCAAAGGCAGTCGTGTGGTAAAACCCAAGTGCGAAGAGAGCCTCAGGATATATTTGGCCTGTGTTCGTCTGAGTAGCACCCTCCCAATTGACCCGCTATCGGATCGGTCTCCCTACCCTAGCGGTTCGGGAGCAAGTAAAGGCTAGGCGGTTAACACCCCTAAGATATCAAGGAAAAGGTCAGGGTTGAGGATCTCCCCTGAAGAGTTTAGTTATAATTCGACTTAGTCGACCGAGTGGCCACTTACTAGGCTACCGAGTGAAGTATATCCACTCGAGGCACCGCAACGACCTCAATCAAGGTCAACATCGAATCTCCACCAAGTTCTCTGAAGAGCGCAACCCGCCAGCCGACGGGTACGTAAGGTGAGAGAAGATCCATACGCGGCATCTGGGTACCCCCTTCGACAGTCGGCAGTCCGGCACAGTGAGTGGTGTGGAGTCTCATTACGCAGTTTTGAGAACCCACACCAAAAATAGGCAAATGCATCTTCGTGCGGAAAAGATTCCCTTTATGGGATGCTTTATTGTGAAGCAAGGAATCCGGGTAGACCCTGTTAAGGTCAAAGCCATAGTGGATTGGCCGGATTCGAGGAACCAAAAGGACCTCCACAAGTGGTTGGGTTTGACAAGTTACTTGCATACGTATAGCCACAACTATGCGGAAGTGGCTAGGCCATTGTTAAATCTTTATAAAAAGAATGTGGAATGGTGTTGGAATAACGGGCTTTTGAAGCCATTTAGGAAAGTCTTCAGGCACCAATTCTGTCTTTGCCTGATCCTTTTAGCGTCGTGTGTTCCTACTCTATACTTAGTGCTAGTCACTATTAACTAAATCTGTAGGCTATTAATATGCAAGCATGTATAGTCAATATACTTAACTAAGTATATTGACCACGTGGCTCTCTGCCACGATGCGACCCTTCGTACCTTAGGTACGGTCACATCAACCTACCACTGTACCCAAGGTTCAGCCGCACCACAATGGTGCATGTAAAATACACACGTTTGTGTATTCCTTGATACAGCATAGATCCATTCCATGATCGCTACTTTGTTTCGCGTTAAAGCAGATGATGAAAACGTGCTAGCCAGAGTTTTATGTAGTCATTTCATAAGATCACCTTTCAAAACAGATTTCGAGCTTATATCTACTTATAGTAGATTGTAGTTTATCATAGCCACTTATTATGCTTATATTATCTCAATATGTTGAAATAGATATAGCTGTTACTATATAAATTGAACAAAACGAATGGCTAGCATGTGCCCGTCGCTCTGCTAGGTTTTATCGATCACCGATCACTTGCAATTGCGCTGTTATAGCAAGTTGACAGTTACATGTCGTTTAATTACGTTTTGTATTTAGCAGCCGACTTGAACTCGATGCTTCTTGTGCCTTTATTAAAGGTATCTCTGGTTGGGTAAAGAGTTTCTTCAAGGACTGCTCATCTAAATTCTACGGATGTGCCATGAGGTTGCTGAAAAGCAGCATTGTGTGCGTGATTTCGGGCGTTTAGTCGAGTGCTTTGGGCGTCGGCAGATAGAAAAATTCGTTGGAGATAATTGTGTGGAGTTCTTGCAGCAGTTTGCTTGGACCATGAAATGCTTCAAACATATGAAAGTAACCAAACACTCGAGTACTGCAGCACTCGAACGTTATCATAGGTAGTAGATTCCTTGCCATGACGCAGTCAACACCTTCACCACTTTCAATTATAATGAGTATGTGTCTAGTGATCTGAACATTTAGAGAACGTCCTTGGCGCTTAGCAAAAACGGATTTGTCGTTTTGGTGCATATGCGTGAACCATGATGCCTTCCTGATACGTTGTCATCAGCACGAGAACAAGTACCTTTGACATTGTTAACACGAAATCATAAACTTGTTGCCATTATCTCACTTCACGGAAGCTGGTGAAACGAATCTGATCTTGTACAGTTTGCCGCTTCTGGTGGCTGTGCCGTGGTCGCGCCGCCTTGCGCAAACGGTTGCATGTGCATCATCTGGTCGTTCAGCATCTGAGAATGCGTCATCATGGCCATCTGAGGCTGCATCATCAGCATTTGAGGCTGCGCCTGCATGGGCATTTGGTGCATCTGCATCTTCGAATACATTCGTTGCTGCATTCCTGTAGCGCCGTCTGTAATCTGAAGTTGGTTCATGTTGAGCTGCATCATGCTGCCCGGTGTGTTCGGCTGTTGCTGTCCTTGCATAGGCATCGCCATCACTGGCTTTGGCTGGTTGCTGCCGCTGGCCTTCTGCATTTCGTTAAGTGTCCGTTTCGCGTCCGGGTTCGCAGACAACTTCTTCTTATCACTCACTAGAGAGCTTAAGTCTACGATATTGTTCTCCGGCAGCAGCTTCGTCAGAAAATCATTACTTTGCGAGTGAAGAGGCTTCATAGCCTCGTTAGAAGCGGCTGCTACCGCGTTACCATCGAATGCGGGTGACTGCGTTGGAGCAGGATCTTGAACAGGATCTTGAACAGGACCTGTAAAGCTCAAACCTGCCAGGTCTTGCAAAGGATTCTGGCTCTGTGGTGTATCAAATACTGAAGGTTGCACTGCTTGTGTAGAACGACCGGAATCAAGTGGCTGCGCTAAAGGCAGCTCATCCAAATCCACACCAAGCAAGTCCACGCTGGCACTGCTAGCAGTTGCACCCAGCGTCTTGCTGCTGCGCTTTTTCGCCGTATGCAATCTTTCCTTTTCTGACGTTAACTCGTCGTCTAAGGACGCAATTGGGGCCCGCCGAGAGTGCAATTTTTTGCAAACCTTGTCCTTCTTGCTCTTCTTCACCTTAATCTTTTTATTAATCACCCTCTCTTGATCTTCTGCAGGTGAAGGTGGTAGCTTTGCCGGATCAAAGGAGAACGCATAGCTCGTTGACGCCTTTCTCTTGTCATGCTCGTGGTCACTCTCGCTCTCCTCCGAGTAAAATTTACTGCGTTTCTTCACATTCTTCGACTTTTTCTTGGCCTTCACTTTACTCTTGTGACGTCGTTCGTCCATCGACTCGGTCTCTGACGATTCAGAAACGGACATTTCTTCTTTTTTACTTTCCACTTCATTATCACTGTCACTCTGTTGTTTCTTCTGTTTAGCTTTCTTTTTACTTTTCGTCATACTCTTCTTTCCCTCTTTCTTTTTCTTTGCATGACGATTCTTGGTATCGTTGGAAGAATCTCTTGAGCTCTCACCTCGATCATATCCTTCATATCCTTTACCAGCCAATGAATTATTTGAACATCCCTTACTAAAGTCAGAATAAGCCTTAGGTCGTTCAGTAACAAAATCATTCTGGTATCCACCGGTAAAACCGCCTGATGAACTGCTTCCACGAGCTTGTAACGACGATGAGGAACTACGAATATCAGCCATCCAATTAGCACGACCATCATTCCTTGGCATTTGATGTGCATAGTGATCTGGAATTGAATCCGTTGTAGGTCCACGTGCTAATTTTCCTCCATATTCAATCACTTTTCCTCCAAGCCATTGACCACTTTCTAGGATCTTACTTTTCCAATCACTTGTATCAATAGAAGCAGCATGACCATGAGAAGATCCTCCTTGTGCATAGTGAGAGTTAAACCGATTACGATCGTGTAAATGACCGCTAGACGACGAGAAACTTGATCCCTCGACGGATTTTTGCATCCACATTCTAGCTACACTATTTGTATCTAACCACTAGGTCGGTTGTTGTCGTATTCCGCTCTTGTGATTGGTTCATAATACGATATATGTCAAGTTTTAGGACGTTTATAATGCGTATGATTTTATCCAATTAATTTACTCTAAAAAGGAACTTATGTTGACAGGAAAAGGTTTTAGTTTTAATCTTGGTTTTAGTATGGATAAAGGTGACTATTGGATGAAAGGCCAAGACGCAGCGGAAGAAGAACTACGACTGCTTGAGGCCATGGTTAGTGTGTCTACATCCATGCAAAAAGTAAGTACAATGAGCTTGTATTGAAATGTGAGACAAGTTAGGTGGCTGTATCGTTACTAGTTGAATGAAACAAATTAATGTATTTCTTGTCTCAATGTTAGTTTAATCAGGTGCTTGCTAAGCTCAATCGACAGACTGTGGAGCTTTCTAAGGAGCTTGGCACAGCAGAGAGACAATTAGTGCGTAATGTACTTTGTTTTGATATGAGAAATACGACAGTCGAGTGATTAATGAACGTGCTGTTTGTGGGTGTTGTTGTTGCTACTACTACTTTGCTAGAACGCCTTGTACTTACCATTTCAAGCTGCAATTTATGAGATGCAAAGCTTTAATGACGACGACAGGAAAAGAATGACGCTGTCAATGCCTACAGTAGCTTCCATATTAACTCCGGACGCTCAACGGACGGAACTTTGATTATTTGTGATTCGTATACCTCTTGTTCAATGGATTTTATCATTCATCTGCATCTGATTATTGGCATATCTTTTGTCGCTTGATGACCGAAGCTTTTTGAAAGTAATGGTATGTGTTTGATGGTCATGTCGATTATAGTGACAGCTTGGCCGAGTGGTTAAGGCGATGGACTTGAAATCCATTGGGGTAACCCGCGTGAGTTCAAACCTCACAGCTGTCGAAACTACTTTTGTGTTGTAAAGGACTTTAGTTCACCTACTTTTACACGTTGTGTCTTAAAACACAAATGGTAAGATAGTAAGATAGGAGGAAAGGAACATACAGGAGAAGTCAACATCAAAGTGAAATAAAGCGCAACTTCACTAACTTTAGCAGCCAACGACATTCGGTCAACTACTTGGGGCCAATCATCTCTTCGGGACGCACAAAACGGTCAAACTCCTCACCAGTCAGGTAACCCAGCGCAATGACGGTCTCGCGTAAGGTTGCGCCGTCCTGGTGTGCCTTCTTAGCCACCTTGGAGGCTTTATCGTAGCCAATGTGCGGGTTTAGCGCCGTGACGAGCATGAGCGAGTTCTTCATCAGCTGGTCAATCTTTTCACGGTTGGCCTCAATGCTCACTACGCAATTGTCCGTGAACGCGTTACAGCTATCGCCAATCAGGCGAATGGAGGACAGCAAGTTGCTGATCATCACGGGCTTGAACACGTTCAGCTCAAAGTGGCCGTTCGAGCCACCCACAGTCACAGCGACGTGGTTGCCCATGACCTGCGCGCACACCATCGTGATGGCCTCGCATTGCGTGGGGTTTACCTTGCCAGGCATAATGGACGAACCAGGCTCGTTGGCTGGTAGCGTCAGCTCTCCCAGACCACTGCGCGGGCCGGAACCGAGAAAGCGAATATCATTAGCGATCTTCATGAGGGAACAGGCGATGGTGTTCATCACACCGCTGGCCTCCACAACGGCGTCGTGGGCAGCAAGCGCCTCAAACTTGTTAGGAGCCGTAATGAACGGGAGCTTTGTCTCTTCAGCAATAATCTTGGCGATCTCAATGTCGTAGCCCCTTGACGTGTTCAATCCCGTGCCCACAGCCGTTCCACCGAGCGCTAACTTGCACAAGTTGGGAAGAATCCGTTTCACACGCTCAATAGAGACAGCGATTTGTTCGCGGTAGCCCGAGAACTCTTGTCCGAGAGTGAGTGGTGTCGCGTCCTGGGTGTGAGTGCGTCCGATTTTGATAATGTCGTCGAACTCTTTCACTTTAGCGTCCAGAGCGTCATGTAGTTTGTAGAGTCCAGGAAGCAAAACACGGTGGATCTCTTGCACTGCAGCAATGTGCATGGCCGTGGGAAACGAGTCATTCGAAGATTGACCCATGTTCACGTGATCATTCGGATGTACAGGCGTCTTGCTGCCCAATACGCCACCAGCCAATTCAATGGCGCGGTTGCTAATAACCTCATTCGTGTTCATGTTAGATTGGGTGCCTGAGCCCGTCTGAAAGACCACAAGCGGAAAATGGTCATCCAGCTTGCCGGCAATGACGTCATCAGCCGCAGCAATAATCTTCTCAGCGACTGCTGCATCTAGTTTGCCCTTTTCAAGATTATACTTGGCTGCACACTTTTTGACAACGCCAAAGGCCTTAATTACAGGCATGGGCATACGCTCACGAGCGCCACCAATTGGAAAATTCTCAAGACTGCGCTGCGTCTGTGCGCCCCAATACTTGGAGTCATCGACCTTAACTTCTCCAATCGAATCTGTCTCGATGCGGAACGAGCTGGCGGCACGTACTGCCTTGACAGTTAGACGAGTGGACGTAGCGGCTTTTCCTACGACAGCAGACAACATGTTTACGTAATAATGAACGTGATTAGGAGACGGAAGGGGAAGTGAGATGATAGAAACGAATCCTGGCCGCAGCTTTTTGAAACTCGATGTTGGCAAAGCTTTAAGCTTGTATGAAGTAATATATTCATAAATTTAAATAAATTACGCCGTATATTACAACCCAATTGTAACAAAAAGACCGAGAAATTTATATGATCACACTATAAATGTGAGTACTGAATAATCAATCAGTTTGCAATCTGATTGTACAAAGTGACATATACCACTAGACACTTCATGTCAATATCATATCACATGACGTCAATGTCATATCACTTTTATAGATGACCGTCAGGAATGACACAATAGACCCTAATCCGTCACAGCAGCTATGGCCTCATTCGAATAAGCAAACATACTACTTTATAGTTGTACGTTATGCCAATCAAACAGAGCCTCTTCTGCTCAAAAACATCGTTACATTTGCCTTTTTATATCGTCTGCCACCTTGTCGTCTGTGCAGTTCCACGCGTGCTAAGGCTCTCTCTCTTTTGTCTCCAGGTATGTCAGCTCTGGTTGTTTCAATGCAGTCAACTTTACCAACTACTTCCTGCATCATCCGTCTGACCTTATCGATATCTTTCCCCTCCTTCCGCCCGACCACTTGAATCCGTTGCCATTCCTGCTCTTTGTCATTCCAAGTCTTTTTTACTTTACCTACTAAAATCTCAATTGACATAAATGAGCTCTTGGCAACTGCAACTTTGTCATCACGCTTGAAACCTATATAACAGACTATACAATGCTGTTCAAGAGGCTTCTACCAAACGGTCGGATTCTTCTATTAGTAATATAAGAAACGATGGCAAGTGCCCTCCCGCGCCGTATCGTCAAGGTAAGTGAGTCACTGAAGCTACTGTAACAAACCATTCTCTGCTTATTAAGTCTCGTACTTTCCCCTATCCCATGCACCGGTTCTAATCTATCGTGCTGTATGCTTTCGTAGGAAACTCAACGGCTGCTTGCGGAGCCTGGTCCGTAAATTATAATTGGATAGAGGGATGATATAGTTTTTTTATATTGGGCTCATTCCACTGACTACGTGTGTTTAAAGTTGCTGGTATTAGTGCAACACCATATGAAGACAATCTTCGTTATTTTCAAGTGGTGATTGCTGGTCCACAGTCGTCACCTTACGAGAGTTCGTGGCTTTACAATGCAATCTGTATATAACTAGATAGAGGCAAAAGCATTAACAAGGTCTTTGTATGTATTCTTAGATGGAATCTTTAAACTCGAGCTCTTCCTGCCGGCTGATTACCCCATGGCACCACCAAAGGTGCGCTTCTTAACGCGCATCTATCATCCCAATATCGACAAGCTTGGCCGGATCTGTCTTGATATACTCAAGGACAAGTGGTCGCCTGCTCTGCAAATCCGCACAGTGCTGCTTAGCATCCAGGCGCTGTTATCGGCACCAAATCCGGATGATCCACTGGCGAACGACGTCGCGGACCATTGGAAAACGGACGAGGTCGGTGCTGTGCAAATGGGTGCGTGAAGCATGAAGTGGGGACACGGTGAGCAATGATTTGAATACTTAACTAATTTGTTTTTTTCTACAGCTGCAGAATGGACGCGTCGCTATGCTTAAACACACGAGAAAGACCTCACACGAGCTGACGTTGTATCGACTGTAGTTTTGCTATTTCTTCCTGCCTCATTCATTTCAATTCATTTTGAAAGTGCTTCCTGCTGTTTGTTTCCATATGTTCATTCATTGCGGTAATGTTGCGGAAACGCAGCAGAAGTTGCTCCATTAAAAGCCCAAAATAAAAACAGAAATGAAAAATAAAATAAATCCCATTTGCTATCCCATTTCTAATGGGCCATCATCATTTCCACTGGATCGAATGCGCAACAAGGTTGAGATGGCTCCAAATGCATCTAGCGCCAAGAAAACGGCATCAAAGAAGCCCAAGAAAACGCGCAAAGCGCTGCATATTGTTCCACCACGTATGAAATCACGTCGAAGGGCTCGTCAAGTGACTACAAACTTTCATCGTTTGACGCATGAACTCGATCGACTCAAGAAACAAAATGCTCTTGTAGACGAAGAGCAACAGCAACAACATGGTGAGCGTATTGCTGTAATTAAGAAACAGTTGAAGGATATGGGAGGTCGTCAGGCGTACCAGGATGCTAGTATCTTAAGTACGAGCTTTCATAGGACGTCCAAGTGGGTATTTCAACTCCTCACGAGCTTTGAGATGCGACCAAAGGCCAAGCAGTTGCCACTGCGAGTGCTCGAGGTTGGAGCCATTAACGTGCAGCTGCTTTCATGTCCATGGTTGGATGTTCGAGCTATTGACCTAAACTCGAGACACAAATGCATTGAGCAGTGTGATTTCTTTAGCCTTACACCCGCTCGAGAATTTCAAGTTGTCGTGTCAAGTATGGTCCTTAATTGTGTCCCAGGAGCTACCAAACGCGGTGAAATGCTGCGACTGTATCGAGAACACTTGAAGGAAGGTGGATTGCTGTTCTTGATGCTGCCACTGCTGTGTCTGCGTCACTCACAGTTCATGACATATGCACGGTTCATTACGATCCTTGAGGCTGTTGGCTTCCGAGTGCGTGAGACTAAAAAACTCGCCCAAGGTCGCCTTCTTTTGTTTAGAGCGGATGGAAACGATGAATGTCACAGCTTCATTTCCACAAAAGCTATTGGTGCCTGGCGACAAGCGCAACGACTTCAGTGTCGTCATCTAAATAGTAAAAAGTGTGATGTGCAGGACCTGCATTTGTGTATCTACGAGTCCGACTACTACGTGTTGTCTTCATTTATAGTATCTTTAAAGTAAACACTCACTTAGCTTACCTGATCGGCTACTAGCGCTTTGAAGTGCACCATACACTCGTTGCGTGACTTTTCAGGGTTTGCGAGTTGCCACGCAAGAATACGGTCAAGCCATTCTTTCATTTGCGGACCGGGCTTTACTCCCAACTGCTTCACAAGATCATTACCCTATCAATGTGTGCAAGCGACATATACATCAGTCAGTACCGGATGAACAGATGCACATCATATTCTTGCAGTAACTCACATTCAGCAGTGGCTTGAGTTCCCAAACGCCGTCCAAACCTGCCTCGTGAAAATGCGAGGTAAAGGTGGTATACCGCTTTAACACCGTTGCGCGTGCGTCAGCAGATTTGTCAGCTGGTCCAGAGTCCGTGAGTTCTTGCACTAGCGCCGTATCGCGGCAGATCTCCCACTGAGCACCAATACTGCGAACAAGAAGACCCGTTTTCATCCGATCAAAGGTATCAAGTGTCGCCGCCTGGAGCTCACTCACGTGGGCTAAAACATTATTCACATCTGTAGCATCACGGTTGGGTAGCTTGAGTGCTTCTTGAATCACGAACGTAGCAATCAATCGACGCCGCTTGTCTCGTACGCAGAGTCCACGGAAAGGCAACAAGACACATGCCAAAAAACGAACTTGCAACTCTTGCTTCTTCACCAACGTCAAACTGTCAACGTCTAGAACCTTACCGGAAGTCAAGTACATGTACATCTCGTATACGTACGCGTACGATTGGTTCCATACATTCTCGTCCACCTCTTCCTCTTTTCCGTCTGGGCAGCAAATGGGTGTCTTCTCTAGCAAAGGAGAGGGCAGGAATACGCTCTCGCATAATTTCAGCTCATGCAGCAGTCGCAACGCACGTTCAGGGTGCGCTGCTCTTCCCGTGAGCATATTTGAAACCTCCTTTCCTACCCTTTCTCGACTCACCTTGCGTACAAGCGCAATCCTGACTTCCTCCAACTGCGCTGCTGCACGCAGATCTTCCTCCAACGTGCAATTGAACCGTGATGCAAAGCGTACTGCACGCAGGACACGCAGTGGATCATCCAGAAATGTCACTCGAGGATCCAATGGTGTACGTAATCGTCCATTCCTCAAGTCCTCAATGCCTCGTCTTGTAAAATCTTCCACTTGTTTCGTCGCCAAGTTGTAAAACAAACTATTGATTGTAAAATCACGACGTTCAGCATCTTGTTGTGGTGTACCAATTCGTACAATTGGTATCCGATTATCCTCTGACGTATACGTCTCTGCTCGAAGGTTTACAAAGTCCACCGAGCCCATATTTTCTCCCATCTGCATTGTTGCTGTCTCAAGATGTTTACTCTGTTCTGGATTAGCCTTAATAACGCCTATAGCTCTTGTATCATGACCCTGTGATGTCTCATATAAATTCACTAGAGCTGCAAAGTCATGACCAGTCATTGAATCCAATACAATATCCACATCATCGCTCTCTCGACCCAATAATTTATCACGTACCCATCCACCAGCTACACGAAGGACAACACCATTTGCTTGAGGTTGAGCAGCTACTTGTAAGAGAAAATGAAATAATTTATCTTCAGATGACGTCATCTTTAAAATGGACATCGTAGGATTCGTAAACATGATGGAATCATTTGATTCAAGACGCTGTTTCTTCTCGAGACTCGAAGAAGAAGACGAAGCAGGTGACATCATCCGCTTCATTTAGGCTTTAAGGTATTGGTTATTTTGTAAAGTATGTATTTGATTTTAAACCAATGAAAAAGAAGCACTATTAACCATCATAAAAATAAATAAACAATGAACAATGACGATATCAGGGCAGCGGAAGAGATTGTACGACAGATTACAGCATTAAAGCCGCGTGTGGATGGTTCAAGAGGTATTATGGCTTATGTGGTGAGTAAGAAATACATTAATATGATGTGGATTGAATGACTCAAGGTGTATAGGACGCTGGACAGGAGAAACCTCAAGTTGAGAAGCGAACGGATGTGAATAAAACGTTTTTGGCCAGCACAATTCGCAGGTTTTTGATTGATTGATTGTTTGGTTATGCTGCTGTTGACGTGTGGATAGTATGGGTATTATGTATAGAAGATACTAAGCGAGTAATGGCAATTGATTGATATATGTATATAGTGTGAAGCTGCATAATCAACGACAAGAAGAAGATAAATGCTGGACATTGCATCATCTAGAGGAAAAGATGGACGTGTCGAGACATTGGCATGGGTCCCGTAGAAAAAGCTACAGTAGGAATTGCAGTATAGAAAGTAGTAGAATATGTAGAAGAAAACGTCGATCGGTCTCTAGCAGAAGCAGGAGCAGGAGTCGTAGCAGCAGACGGTGGGAGGAACGCGAGGTCTCTAGACGAAGTAATCAAGGTTGCGATTGCAGCAATGTTCATGAGTTTGATGACAAGAAGAGAGAGATGCAAGATGAACGCAACTACTGGGCACAAAAGAAAGCTGGAAAGGTCCGTAAACTATGGGAAAATCTGCATGCGGAAGGAACCGTGTCTGTGGAAAATGCACCCGACTTTAGTGAAGAGGAATCCGACGACGATGATGTCAAGCCCATCGAAGCCAAGGTGTTGCCGTCACCCGAGGACAAGAAGAAGAAGCATAAGAAGCATAAGAAACACAAGAAGGACAAGAAACACAAGAAATAACACGACTGTGAGTGATAAGGATGCGTCGAGATGGTAAAAGGTGGCGTGATGCACTGATTTGAATGCAGAGTAAAGCTTTTCACGACAAAACAGCAGCAATTGCGAGCTTTATTGTAAGTATAGAAGCTCGAAACAAAATGTGTTGCTCACACTACTTCCACGTTGATACGGCTTGATATGTTGCAAAAACCATCGTAAAGATGCCTATTCCGATGACAATGTTGTTCAAGGTGCGACCCTCGTCTAATAGCTTTGAGTGAAACATACAGGGGTAGATGAATGCCAACGGCACCGAGCAGAACCCACCGATGAGGGCGACAAAGTTGTCTAGCTCTTCCTTGCCGAAATACGCGATAGCAGCAGTGAGGCACACTAGCGCAAACCGAAATCCATTCTTTTCCCAGCGCCAATAACCTTTTTGACTGTGATGAGGGAATAGGTAGCCTTCCAGAATCTTGACCACCGGGTACAACATGAGCGGGTACGTAAAGACCAGTGCAAGCGAGTACGTCAGCTGGACAGACATGGTAGCAACGCTGTCTTGAGCACTGGGTAGATTCATCGTAACGACGGGCTGCGTATCCTGACCAAATGCGGCGTACACGAGTCCAGCAAAGACAGAGAATAGAGTTACAAGAAACAACACAGTGTACGAAAGGATGCGTGGAAACTTGTGCTTGATGTCGTCGTCCATCGCATCATATATCGGCAACACTAATCCAATGCCTTCAAAGCAGTACACAGCAGTACCCAGTAGCATGGCCCAGCTCGTTGAGTTAAAATTTTCCCACGTACCGCTACCAACTGGTTCTTCATCCAGCGTTTGCACCGTATAAGATATGATGTATACGATGCCAAACAAGATGAGGAGATCTGCAAACAAATTTGTGAGCGCAAAGTATTCAATGTGACGCACCCACGATAGCGGCGTGTATAACAAGATCTGAAGCATTATCAGCGTCAATGACGAAGATGCTGTAGTCCTATGGATACCAAAAGCAGCCAAAATGACTTCGCCAATGTTCTTTTCCACAAAAATCAAGTACGAGCAGCAGAAACCAATCTGCGAGAGCACGAGGGAAATATTGACAGCGACGCGGCCAATTTTTCCAAATGCTTTTTCGCCAACAAGACCATACGAGACGCTGGTACAACCACGTTTCCTCACAGCATCGGAACAGTCGGTCAGACGCAACATGCAAAAGATTGACAACATTGTAGAGGTACACAGTGCTGATAAAGAGAAGAGCATGCCTCCGTTTTGAAAACCTTTTGGTAAGAACAAGATACCGCTACCAATGAACGACTTGAGGATCGTAAACACGGTTTTCCCAATCGTTGCACCAGGCTGTTGTTTTTCAGGTCGACGTTTCCACGCACGACTTAGTATCGGCGTTGTTGTCTCCTAGACAACATGTATCATATAAATGTGAGTATAAATATATCAAGAGTTAGTATCATACATGTTTGTATCTATTGATATCTGCATCACGACGTACATCCAGACTATCATTGTCATCTGCAAGATCCAGATAGGCTAGAATAAAGTCACCATATGCAGATTCTAGAAAACCTCGTGTCGGTTGAATTGATTTTAAGAAAGAATCTTGTACATATACAGGAACATGTGGACTATTGCCTCCAAGATTCGCAATCACATGATCTCGACGAAATCCTCCAGGTTGAGCAATATCAGATGCTTTACCTACGTAATCAACAGCAATAATAACAACAACAGCAAGTAAGTAAGTATATACTAATATCATTGTATCATAATAATCAATCAATATATCTTTATCTATACCATACCAATATCCTCATGTAAAATATCACTTTGATCTGGTAATGACTTTGGACGTGATGGTCCGTCTTGTGTGTCTTTTAAAATAGCAAAGAAAATATCACGTGTCATATCTGATCCTTCTTCTGTAATATCATGTACATCAGATGGTAATAAGGGTGTCTCTCTATCAAGAGTAGATCCAGTAGTTAATGGTAATGGTAGAGTATCATTATTACTACTGGGTTTATTATTAGTATTGGTGATCATTTATTATCTTATATATTTGTGAAAAAAGTCTGATTTGGGTCTTTTGAAGATGGTGGCAAATATCACAATGACGAGTAGACAAAACTTTAGATTTGGGTCCTTTCATGAAATCTTTTCGGGACGGAGAGATGAATGAATGGTCTGACAATTCGTATGCTGCTATCATTTCACACTTCATGATAATTCAGACCTTTAGGTGCACGTAGACAGATAAATAGAGATTGATTGGTTGGTTAGTGGTGTATCTTACGTCTATATACAACACCACCATATACATACATCACTCTATGCTTGTTCATTCCATGGGTGTCACCTAGAGACGCTTCCTACATGTATCATTCATTCTGTCCATAGGGCTATCGAATATCTTAAAGCAAAGCATTAACCACGTGTTGTAAAGATGTATTTCCTACACTGTAGGCAGCAATTGAAACATAAGACCTCGAGATTGTTCAGCTTATTGTACATTGGCACCAGAATACGTATGGTGACCCGGTTTCAAAAGGCTCTCCAAAGAAGCATCGGACCTCTGCCTCAGCAGGTGGCCAAGATGTTTCAAACTTCTTGGTCATGTTGCTTGAAAGAAGAGTGACTTGACGTCTTTCTGCAGATTCATTCTCTCTGTGGATCTTCAAAAATGGAGCAGCATTGACTCCATACTTGGTGACATCCGGTAAACAATGCTCTGACGTTTCGGCAGTATTGGAAGGGTGTGAAGGATGATGCAGAAATGATTCGGACGATGCACGGCCAAGCGTCGGTTGGATTGGAGTCATGTCCAAGAAGATTAAAGAGTGTGATTTTATCCTGCTTGAGTGACGCTGAGTATTCTCACACGCTATTAATTGAGCTATCTCGCTGTCCGCGAGAGCATATTTGAGCCATTGAGTGAACTGGAGCTGACCATCTGATGTTGCTAGCGACAGCAATTTTTTTCGAAAGTGTCTCCGCAGCAAAGGGCTCTTTGCAGCGCCAGAGATAGAATCTCCGTGCTCGTTTCGCCGTAACACATGTAGCTGCCTGCCGTCAGCTTCCTCTACCATTCGATTTGTCAGGAGACAACACAGTACATCTGAGTATGGAAAATGATACACAATACAAAACACGTTCAGGTCAAAATAGTGCCTGCCTTCATGCATGAATGAGTACAAGGAATATAAGTAACCCGCAAGTTGTTGAATGCCTTTCCGGTCAAGGTATTTACGACACCGGGGGTTGAGAATCTGAAAAAATAGGTGCGCTTTCTCTTCTGGTGTTCCACGACTTGCAACCGACAAAAACTACGGATGCAGACAGCGTTAAATCGACTTTTACGCTCTTGTCGCCACTCAACAATGAACCAGACCAGAACACGTACCTGAATCAAACTGTAGTAGGACACATTTCCGTACCCGTCAGGCTTTAGAAAACGGTAGATTGGGTCGTGTATTTCGTCTGGCCACTAGACAAATGCAGCCATACACAGCGTCAGTTGTCCATTTTTCATGACCACAATTCTTATCTGGAGAGCTTCAGTACCGTGTTAAATTCCCGTGCAAGTATATGCTCTATCTCATCTTGCCGCAAACCACGTAACTTTGAACGACAATGCGCTTTTCTTTGAAAACGAAGAAACGTGAATTCGTCCTGAAGTCGTGTCATTTCCAACTGGTTGAAATGTGTCTGCTTAGCAAGCACCGTGAGCTCAGCCTTGCGTAAGAGTGGTAAAAGACGAAGTGCGGCTCGCATGTTTTCAACCGACTCATCCTTTAGACCGTATAATGTGCGTCCTTGCTGAAATAGTGTCTGTAGAGATATCTCGGTTGCATTCTGACACTGGCCCAAAACGATCTTATAGATGTAACTTGAATCCCACTGCTCCATTTCCTGTGCGATAAGATAGAATCTTAGCGTCGATTTTTCTAATTCGTGCACCGTCGTTTGCAAACTGAGTATGTTACCATGTAAAGCTGAATCTTGTCAATTGCGAGCTTCAAGAAGTGCAGTGCGACTAACAAGTGCAGTATCGTCCCATCATCTTCCCCAAGCATGGCATCCCATATCTCACAGAGTACAGGCAAAGGCGTTTCTCCAACCCAAAGCGATACAAACCATTTGCAAGACAATAAGGTTGTTACGAGAGGTAGATCAACCTGTTAACTCGACAATGTAAAAGTAAGTTATCGTATCACATAGCCATCAGTAACTGCATTCAATGTCCTCTTACCTTGGCAAGTACAGGGTGTAGTGGCACAAGTTTTCTTACCACCAACTCATGGTATAATTTACAGTCCTACATCACCACAGAGAACTCCACCAAGTCATTTGTCAGTCTAGAAAAAATGGATCATAACGTATGTACAAAGCTCGTAACGCACCACTTGAAACCCATGGAGCTTTGGTTTTCGTGCAAAAAAGTCCTCTGGAAAGACTCTAGGCAGCCACACAAAGTAACTAAGTTAGTTAGTTACTAGACCCGAATGAAATGAATGAGCAACAACTCGATAAAACCTTTCAATAACACTAGCATAGACCCAGAATGTTTCTTCATCGTCACGTTTGTTGTTTATATGACCCAATAGAAAACATATTACATCTGCATGACCCTGGACATACCCCACTCGTGGATTTCTCTATATATGACACAAAAAAGCTTTTTCTTGGTCATGTCGATTCCTGTATATTCTTGTATCACTAAATGTCTACGTACCATACAATATGCTACTAGTATTTTTCTTAGTAAAGGCACATATTGATTCATTACATGTGATGTTATCTCATTGTTAGTATTATCGTCTAAAGTATCTTGAAACGTCGCATGTTTGTCATCAAGTAGTAGGAAGAGACGAATTGATTCACCCGTACGTGCTAGATCGAGCTCTATTTGATGTAGATCCTCTTCGAATTGAGATGATGTACAGCATTTACTAAGACGAACATAATCCTGATACTCAAGTATACTACTTTGCTTGAGCTCACACGCACGAGACGTAAGAAACCAATCCTTACGCGACTGTGGCATCTTAAGCCCAAGGTATGGTAAAGTCGTTTTGTCAAACCCTTAGGGTTTCTCGTGCACCTATAATGATGTAAACAATAGGGTTCTTACATCAACCCAATCTTTTAAATCACTTTTTTAAAATCCATCTTTATAAAGCAAAATAGAAACAAAAAAGCAAAAATAAGCTCACAAAAAAAGCAGAAAAAAAATGGCATCGGTTCAAGTAGCACCTACACGCATGTACGTCGTACATGACTAGAAGCTGTGTTACTTATGAACTACTTATATCTTACCTCTTTTATATCAATCAGATGTATCGTATATATTTTAACCTCTTGATTCTTCATTGTCTTGTGATAGGACCCTAACGACCTTTAAGACGAAAAGTGTTGGTGCGAAGAAAGGTTTGAATCTTTGTATATGCTCCAAGTGTCTTTTATCGTCTGCTACTTATCGTTACTTCTTATATCTATAGGGTTTGAACTACTTAAGAAAAAAGCAGATGCATTGAAAATGAGGTTCCAGGCCATGCTTCGTGAGATTCAAAAGGTTGTTACTCAACTCTCTTTTTTTGTTGTGATGGCTAATCGTTGGTCTTGATTGAGATTAACTTGATGCTAACTATGATGATCATTATCATTATTACTATTGACTGCTTTGTTTATTTGTGCTTACTAGACCAAGATGTCCATGTCGACAGAAGCGTCGGAGGCTTTTTTCTCGCTTACACAGGCACAATATGCAGCTGGTGATTTTCGCAATAAGGTCATTGAATCGGTGAGCACGGCGGAGATTCGTACACAGAATCGCATCGACAATGTGGCTGGTGTCAAGTTGCCAGTGTTTACAGAAGTCAAAGTGAGTCGTGAGAAGAGCGAAAACATTGGTCTCGCTGGTGGTGGTGGTAAAATCCAAAACTGTCGTGAAAAATTCCGCGTATTGCTGCGAGCATTGATTAAGCTTGCATCGCTTCAGGTAGGCTACAGTGAGAAGTGATGTTGGGTTGTTTGGAGTGTAAGCTAAGCGGGATTGACGTTTCGAACAGACTTCTTTTGTAACGCTGGATGAAGCTTTAAAAGTGACCAATCGTCGTGTGAATGCATTGGACAATGTACGTGTCCTGTGATAAAATTACTTGCTCTGTTAGAGGAGTATTGACTGGACTTGATGGCTATATTTTGCAGGTGACCATTCCCCGTATTGAGAAGACCATCTCGTATATCTCGAGAGAACTTGATGAGCTGGAGCGTGAGGATTTTGTGCGGTACGTCGCAATATTGCCATGATTGCATCTATATCGGATGTAAGTGATTTGAGTTGGCAAACTCACGATCTCAACTATTTGGTATGGCATTGACAGTATTAAAAAGGTGCAGGCAAACAAGCAAATTATCGAGAAAGCCATTCTGGCCAAGGCAAAAGGTAGGAAGTTTTTTTCCACCATGTACAAAGTTTGGGTCGTGGATCTCATGTTCATTTGCTGCATACCTTATTGTAGCAGCAGTTGGTACCAAGAATACTGCCGCCAATGTGGACGATGACCCGTTCGCGGATGTTGTGACGTCGGACCACGACATTCTTTCCCAGTACGAATTGTCTGCGGACGCCGATGTGGTTTTTTAGGTGGACAGGAATAGTGCAGAGAGGTTTCAAGACATGAGTGGTGCCGTCTCTTTGTTCATTTGGCAACGTGAGAGTCATGAATGCAACTGAAGTACAAGAAATGAACAATGCGACGTTCTTTTCTTTCTGCCGTTCTCTTTTGTTTCATTATTAGTATTCCCTATCCCTAGTTATCGGAGCTTCCTGGCCAGTCGTAATGGAGCCCATTGCTAAGCGCCTAAAACAGTCCGCAGAGAGCGCTTTGTACACAACGAGAGAGAGTAACACAGAGAAGGAGATTGCTGAGCGTATACGTCGTCTAGAGGCTGAGCTCCAAGATGGAAGTCATGAGGACTCGAGCACCTCTGACTCTGATTCCGACAATGACAAAACCAAAACAGTCGTGAGTCTGTCCGCGTATGCTTCAGACCGTATTGAGTCGCTGCCTGATAATATGCTACCACCTGCTAGACCATCGTCGGTCCTGCCATCAGTCAAGAAGAAACGTAAGAAGACTCAGCAGGAGGAAAACGAACAAGCAGCGAACAAAACGCTAGAGCTACTAGGCGACGCGCTGACGTTCCCCAAGAAGGTCCCGTTTGCATGCAAGCCATGCAAGTTTATCGGAAAGAATATAGAAGATTTAAAGGCGCATCGAGCGTCCGAGGAGCACCTAAAGCGCGCAGAGGCTGGAGATAAGGCATTGCACTGTGTTTTGTGCAATAAATCGTTCACTAGTCAAGCCCAAGTCGACGAACATCGTCTAGGCAAGTGGCACAAGCAGCGTGCCCAGCAGAAGAAAGAGAGACGCACTGTAAAGGTTTGCTATGACTTTATGCGTGGAGAATGCAAGTGGGGCGATCGTTGTAATTTTGAACACACGGAGACGAAGGCCATGCGTTCTGGATGTGCATTTAAAAAGACACGTAGCCGAGTGTGCAGCAGCTTTGCACAAACCAAGAAATGCCGCTTTGGTGACAAGTGTCTGTTCTCGCACGACACAAAATAGTTGGCTACGGAGCCACTTTTGATAAAGTCAGCTTTCGGGGGCGAAAGTCACATCTTGTCGGAGTGTCCGTTGTGTTCTCACCCTGCTTCGTGAGAATTGACTGACGGACTCAACTTACAGCCCAAGCTGTTTATTCACAAATGCTTCCACTCGCTCGAACGTAAATTCGCCATCTAGACGACGCGCAACGTCTACGATAGCTTCATGCTGCTGCTGACTGCGAAAGATCAGCACTACTGGAAGATCTGCTATTTCAATGGACGCGTCAGCTTCCTTCGCGACCATCGCCGTAAACTAGAGCATACCAACACAATAGTTATTCCAACTACCTATTCAAGTCTGCGCATGCAGAGCACTATACCTTGACATGGACAAGCTTTGGTGCCAGTAACTCTAGCTGAGTATTCAATAGACCACATGCATAATTGTCCGGGTGATAGAGATGCACGAGCAAACATGTGCTTGTATCGCTCTCCGTGTTCGAAGTAAGCGCGAGGAATTGCTCTGGAGTGATGTACTCTAAGTTACCGTAGACTTTGCGACTGCGTGCCATTTGTTGCATCTGCTTGATACGCATCTCAGTGTATTGTGCCAAGAAGGTGTCGTCAACCATGTCGCTCGTATCGGATCCAGCATCTGATTCTCCATCGCTTTTGCATGCCACCTGTGCACTGAAATCATGCGTCGAAGGAGCAAAAGGGACTACGACACCTTTAGTAATACGATGAAGCACTGCTTGACGCTCTTTTTCCTTTCGCAGACGCTGCATGACCAGTATATTATCATGTAAGAACTTCTTGTGACGACGTGGAGATATGCATTTAACAACGCACCTCTTCTTTTTCATAGCGGTTGTGAGCCTTATAGTCGTTAATAACGCCTTTAGGTCCAGTATTTGCTGAGGTGAAGTCACGTCCTTTGCCACCACAATTGCCGCGCGTAGGCTTTCCCCACGTCTCATAATTCACAGCTTTTTGCTTCCATGGTCCTGTTGGATCAGCTACAGAGTACACTCGAGTTGTAGTCTCTTTGCCATCGTCACTACAGCAGCACAAAACGCACAAGAACTTCTAATGACTGTAGATTTGATCATGGGAGCTATAGTATTAGATAGATCTAGGCACCTGGCTTCAGAGTCCGAGTTAACTCGGCCGCTCAGTTCGTCTTGGTCGCAATCTTGGAGCACATTATGCTGTAAGAAGAAGCTTTCCATGATCGTTACGATTTGCTCGAAGAGTCAATCACTTTGACATGAAAGTTGTATGGAGGAATGAAGGAAGATGCCAAGGACAAAGGTGTGAACACTGTATGACTATCGATAATGGACTAAGTTATGCGCTATCCTTCGTCAAAAGCGTTCTCCATCCAATTGGCACTTGATGACAACATAAAACAACACCCACGTCATTCTCAAGCAGATAAACAAAAGATAAGTCCATGAGAAAAGAGTCAACTGACTGCACTGTACTGCACTCTACAAAATGCTTTAGTCATTTCTGCCGCCAGCTCGCGCTCTTAAGGGGAATCTGAAAGTCAACTAGTGCTGACTTTCATCGCATAGAACCTTGGCTGATAAATTCTGGCCGTCTGCGCATCCACTCTGCTGTACGTCTGTCGTCATCGAAACCATTTCTTGTGTGCGCTCAATACACGTTACACCAACCCAAACAAGACCCCTTAATTCTTGCCCGACTGCTTCATTAGCCACTGAATGACCTGGTCAATATTGACAAGAAGCAGTGCCGAAATGGGAATCACTAGCCATGGATTGTCCACGATATAGTCCAAGTTGAGCTCACGAATAAGTTCCGGCTCAGAGATATGAGGTTCCAGATCAATCTTGTTCGCCAACACTAGTAACGGTGTCGTCGCGAGTTCACTACACAACAAAACAATCGAAACAACACAAACTCGCTGTTATAAACGACAATTACATCACATCATCAATAATGTCCATAGAGCTTTTGGTATTATCATACCGGTCTTCTAGTAGACGATGTAGTTCCTTCCGAGCCAAGGAGATTTGGTCAAACTAGAAAGAATATCTCAAACTCAGTACATTCACTCAAACCAAAGACCTGAAGCTTCAGAGTCATTCATTCGAAAAAACATCATCATTATCACATACCGCATTAGCGTCTACCACATATATAATAACATCACATCCCCGCGTATAACGACCCCATTCACTTCGATACTGTGCTTGTCCGCCAATATCCCAACATTTCATCTGCACACCGCCTTTTTTCACCAATTTTACATTAAGACCAATGGTTGGACACGTTTCAACAGGATGACCCATGGCCATTACGTTTAGCAGTGTTGTTTTGCCACTATCGTCAATAAATAGAGTACAATTAAACACAAATTAGTCACTTTGACTCAGGTTTATGATACTTTGTGGTGCAATCTTTAAAGTACATTCATCTACCTATTCTCAAGCCCTACAAGAACAACTTCAATCTTCTTGGTGTAAAAAGCTTGTAGCATTTTCTGTAGAATACCACCCATGATTGCTTACTACTATTAATTCAATTAAAACTTGATTTGTGAGTGAGTGTCTTAAGATGAAGAAGTAAACTACTAGTCAAGTCTTCTTCTTCTGATGATGATGATGGGGGGGGGAGACGTCTACCGCGGATGACACAGATGCGAAATTGTGACTTCTTCGTATAAGAAAATGGCGTTTTTTTGGCAAAAGGATGTTGTGAAAAAGAGACTTGACCTGCGATGGGTGGGTAGTTGTTTCTTAAGATACCCTTTTTTTTGCTGTTCTCAAGTTGCAACTGATTTTTCTTACGTTCAAGCGACCTTCTAGTTACTTTTTCAGGTATATAAAAACTCTCATTGATATGAACACATTCAAGCACACTACTCTTTTTGGACCAGGTATCATCTACTATTTCTTTCGTGTTGCAATAGACGACTGTAGATTCTTAGCGCATAAACGTCCATGAACAAAATAAAGCTGACGACGTATATGCGTTGATCTTTCGTGAAGCTTAGTTTATTGCAACGCACATTTGTAGCATTCTTATATCGTTACATTGCTTATTGCTCATGGTCAAAGCTATAACAGTCCTCTTGCTTCACGACGGCAGAGATCAATAGCAGACTAAAGTGCAGCTGCCGAGCGTAGAAGACGCCACGTAGTGGAAACACATCTTTGAGGCCAATATTTGCAACTCAACAGTCTGTATGGAATCTCGGTAGTTTCTCCGAAAGCAGTTCAAGACGATACTGAGATTCATACGTCATCATATAGTTGCGTGACAAACAACCGCCAAGATGTTAGCGCCAGCAATATTTGGCTGAATCTGAGCAGTTGCCAAATAACACATGAAATGATGATTCTTACAAAGTAAGAATTTGGCACCAATATAAACGGGACACAATGTAGAGTCCATTCATAATCTGTGATTCATACCATCCTTTTTCAACATTCTTAACTCCCTGTTTCTGTGTTCCCCATTCCATCAGACCATATGGGTCGGGAAATTCAACAAATCTGGTTGCAAGCGACTCCAAGCCTCCACAAGCCGCGCATGCTCATCCGGATGGTTACGATACAATGCTGCAGGGTCCTGTGTACATATTGCAACGTAAAAGAAAACACGGTCAGTAGGAAACAAGTAAGCAGACAGAACTCCAGCAGGAGGCGTAAGAAACTGGCAATGCATGGCACATGTCCGCTAATCGGATTCATCGTCTGGTAGACCGACCGTATTGGGCCAGTGACATTGGTGTTGCTTGCCTGCAAGTGCCACTTGACGCCGCCAAAACATGACAGACTTTTTACTGCATTTACGCATACGTACCTCGGCAAAGCAAACGAAGATGGTCGTAACAACAGAGTCTAAGATGGAAGACAAAATTGCACACATGGCGTAACCGATTGAAGCACAAGCCACAAAGGTCAATACCACGACGTTGAAAGTTTCTGCCAACATGTGCATGATACAGAGAAGCATCAGTCTCATGAGCAAATGATACATTGATGCATTGTCCTCGACTTTCAATACATTATAGAACATGATACGTACGACATTCGTTTGGATTTTCGACCAGCTCGTCCGGTGTACACCGCATTCTTAGATACAGCCATCCTGAACCGATGACTCCAGATACGGTGCCTATCAAAGCCAGTTGAGTTATTAGATCTTACAGACATTATCATCATCTTGAAAAAACGTACCAGCAACAAGGCATCCTACTGCAAGGACACTTGAAATTAGTGAGTCATTAAGCAAAGCCGTCCAACCACGGTCCCGAAAAAGATGCATCGTGTCCGACCCAGCAAGTCGAAAGTCTTTCCCGTACAACGCTATCTGGCAGAATGCGTACTTGTTGAAATACTGCATATTGCGCATAACCAGCTTGACCAGGAACTCTAGACACGCGTTAGCGCTGCCTTTGGCCTTCCGCCGCGGGGTAGATAGTAAAAGCGTGTGCAGTGCGTTTAGCGCAGCAATTACCAGTGACCCGACACAAATTGAGCCGAGAGATGTCGTGAGCGCACGCGTTCGAGCCCGTTGGATTGTATTAACGTCATGCGCTCCAAACCACCACTCGCCAACCGCACCAGCAGCAATGCAGTGCACCACGTTCTTGGCAACTTGCATAAACCAGTAAAAACTGCACAAAGTTGTCAAAACCACATATTTGTCTCAATATAGCCGTTGTGAAGGAAGAGTGTTAGAAGATCAAAGACGCGTACCTCAACAGCATGAAGAAAAAACAAGTGTTGCCAAAGGAGCTTGAGTCGTGCAAGTTACCTACTACTTTGGCAAATACACCCACTACTGCCGCACCCCAAATCATGATCCAAAGTCCCTGGGCCAACAAAGCCATGTATGCCGACGTGATCACGCCAGGAAACACCCGCAAAATTCGAGAAGCAGCTGCCAAATTTGATGCTGCAAAAGCAATTGAGCGCTGGACGGAGGCATAGTACGTGATGATCATGAGAGCAAAGAAAACATTTAGAAAACCAATGGCCTTGCCTGCCATGCCAGAGTCGTAGAAGGCTGATAGTGAAGCCACAATAAAGGCAACGATGCTGAATTTTAATGTCCACGATATCACGCGCTTTGCATGATTTTGCAGCACCTGCAACCACATCGCCGACACAACGCCGCCAATGCAGGACGTCGTCAAGAAAATGAGAAAAATCTTGAGGCCATGAGATGAACTATCTTCATGATGCACGGTGAAGTAAATACTTGAAATGTTTGGAAGACCAAAGAAAAGCTATGAATACAAAAGGAAAACAGAGAACAAACAGCACATTCCAATCAGTTATTACATCGCAAGAGACTTCATACTCGTTACAATCTCTTCAGTAAGAACGCACCGCAATACAGATCACGACTACACAATTGGACGCAAAAGCTAATGCAAAGATAAAGTCTTTGCGTTCGTCGCGTCGTCCAGTAAATGGTTGCTGTGGTGCTTTCTCTAGCAACGTCTCTTCATCCGCTCGATCTAGTTCCATATTGGTGAATGTACACAATGTCTTGCATCGGACTGGTCAGAACTCGACATAAAGTTTCAACCAATCAAAAGGATGAAACATTACGGTTATGTTGAAGTTTTTAGATTCTGACACACATAAAAGTATCAGTATTGTACCGACACAACACCGGTACCAGAATTATTCCAGGAATTAGGATTTACGAAGTGAGCACAATCTGAGATGTTTATGATTATAATATGATTATGTTTTTGACATTGAGGAAAAGAGTGTTTACGCACTTATGTGAAGAAGCTCTTCATAGCTCGTATCGTGGTTATCAAATATGCACATTCACATAATCAAATTCGTCGCAACTCTAAAATGCTCGTTTTTGATGTATGTCGCATTTCCTTGTTTTTGATGTATGTCGCATTTCTAGATATCGAGTTTCTTACTTGTATTAAGTGTGCTAATACGAATACAAACTACCCATAGCAAGCTGCCCACGAGTGACTGGAACTCGCGTATCGTTGGGCCAGACCGCTTGTGTGACGCTCCAAGCATCTCTGCTCCGTCGAGATTCTATTCATAGCAGTCGTCACCAATCGATGCGCGCACCGAGTTTGCATCCATAAGTCCGTTGGTACCCGTTAAGATCCAGTTCAGCCTATCTATCTGCAAAGTGAGTAATTCGTACGTGATAAGGCATTTGACACACATTCGCAAAAAAACACTTATTTCAACTCTACAACTTTTTGTAGCCATAAACAACTGGTGCTGGTGGACCATAAACTGCTTGGCTTTGAATGAGTTATCGAAAATCTTGAAGCAGGTTGTTGAGGTGGACAACACAAAAAAAGGCTGTTTGACAGTGTCACAAGTCAGCCAATTTCTTACTTAAATGGCTAGTACATGGCTACAGGATACCTTATGTGACGCACATATTTTTTGACCAAAAAGAATAGTGTGCTACTCAAATACCTAAACTACGGTCAGGGTACTATATTACCAAAGGGGAAGTTCATGGCGACGCCAATATCCGCTGATGCTGCGATGGCCGCGAGCTTTTCAGAACTCAAAGCTGCACTCAAGCGAGAAAACTACGCGCGTGCTATCGAGATTTGCAACAAGAGTGCGTTACTGTATTACTATTTGTATAAGAGAGAAGGGAGAGATGGATGATGCCTAGTTGACTCATTAATGTGGTTGCTACAGTTCGTTCCAAGTCTCCAGAGGATGTGGATGCTATTAAGGTTAAATGCATTGCATTGATTCATCTAGAAAAGGTCTTGTGCTTTCGTTGTATTGACTATGATATATCTTACTCTAAATTAGAGTAGAAGAGAGAAAGAGATTAACGCTATTTGTTTGATTGTGGTTTTGTTTATAGTTTGATAAGGCATTGGAATTGGCCATTAAGTACAGTTTCTTGAGTACGGAGAGAGTCTATTGCCTATATCGTCTGAAACAAGATGAGGAAGCTCTACAGCTGCTAGAAGAAGAAGATTTGGAAACGCAGAGCACAGCGCAATTGCATTTACGGGCGCAATTGGCACGTCAAGTGACGTGATAGAAGGAGAACCATGTGACTTGATCTGATCAAGTGTTGTCTTTGATGCTGTGTGTACAGCATTTTCGCAAGGAAAACTACGATCAAAGTATTCGTATCTATGAATTGCTGTTCGCTCGCACCCAGAAGGTGGTATTTGTTGTATTCTAGAATTGATCTTTTGATACATGTTACTGACGTGTGTTTGGGCTACTACTTTTTGTATGTAATAGAGCGACAATTTGCTAGAGCTGCAGACAAATTTACTGGCAGCATATGCAAGCGCGGGCAGAAGCCACGAACTGAAGGATCGTGATATTTGTGTAAGAGACTACTAACTTCTCCGAGAAGGGAATATTTTGTCTAACCTGAGTATGTTGTAACAGGTCGATGATGGTTTTGAAGTGGCTTTTAACAAGTCCTTTGTAGCCATCCAGTCGGGCAATTGGGAGGCAGCCGAAAAACTTTTACTGACTGCTGAACGTAAGTCTGTTGCTTTAAGTTCAGCTTTTGCTAACCATACTTACTTTCGTCTAATTTGTTGGCAGGCATGTGTCGCGATACGTTTGTTGCTGAGGGCGCTTCGGAAGTAGAGATTGAAGAGGAAGTGGCTGTGATCAAGACCCAGCTTGCATTTGTGAAACAGATGCGCGGTGATGTCAACGGCGCTCTATCGGATTATCGTAATGTTCTGAAGCTCAAGTACGTTGTGTTGAATGACTGAACATTCCAGCTTTGGAAGCCAAATGGTGCTTGTTCTCTATGCTGACGATTGTTTTGCTTCATTGCAGGCTGCGCAACCGTGCCGTGGGAGTTGTGGCTTTGAACAACCTTGTGACAATCCGCAAGGACCGCGACGTTTTGGACTCGCTGAAGCGATTGAAGAGTATTGATGCTACGGTGTTTTCGGAAAAGCTGACCCACGCGCAGCAGGAGGCTATCCTCACAAACCGCACGCTCCTGCTCTGCCTCATGAACAAGGTGCGCACACAGTTAGCGACTGCGGCCAATCAATATCCTGTACTTACGACTGTGTTGTGGCTGCTAGACGGAGGAATCTCGTGAGAGTTTAGAGGTCTTGAAAAAGCACTTTCCTGCGTCAAAATCAATTGCCGATATTTTGTTGTTGCTCGCCATAAAAGACCAGTCGCCTGCAGCGGCGATTGAGCAGCTCCAGGTTGGATGTGTCGTACTTATCAAAACTGTGTTGATGACTGTAAGACTGACTTCACTTTGTGTATATGATTGACACAACCGTGTATGTGTTTAGAATGATATGAGTGTAGGAGGTCGTCTTGGCCTTGCGCATGTGTACTTAACGATGGGGAAGGTCCTGAAGGCTGCCGATTGCATTCGGTCAATCGGGGAGCTGGCACACTCGCCAGGCACTGTAGCGACCCTTGTTGCATTGTACGAGCAAGCCAATGACTCGGCATCAGCACAAGCTGTGCTGGAAAGTGCTCTTGCTCATCACAAGGCAAGCGACTACAAGTCGGAGCAGGCCATCACGATTCGCGAGGGTGACTGTTGGTATAAGGTTCAGAAGAAGCAGTACCACAAGGCCGCTGACGCGTACTTGGAGCTGCTGGAAGGCGAGACTGCTGGTGCAATGGATTGCGATCTTCGTCTTCATTCCATGGCCTCGCTAGTCGTTGCCCTGTAAGGCATTCTAGTTTTGGTATAATTCACTTCTTACGGTACTGTTCTAACGCAGATTGTACCTGCGCAGGTCATTTTGTGATGCCGCAGCTGCGGAAGCTCGGTGTGCTATGCTTCCAGCTGTTGAGATGAGCAGTGTTGATCCAAGTGAATTGGAGAAGCAGGCTCGGCGTTCGACACGACTGGCCGCCAAGTTTGCTGACACTGGAGACAAGAAGAGCGAGTACGTTTTGTGCCATGCATCTTCTTGCTATTCTATACTGAATGTAAAGCTCATTTGTTTTCCCTATATGTAGACGGAAGCGCGCGGCCAAGAGCCCAGAGAGTATTGCCCGCAAACGTGCTAAACGCAGGGAGGCCTATCTGGCCCACCTTCGCGCTCGTCCAGACTACAATGCGTCCATTGGATTGGTAAACCCGGACCCAGAGCGCTGGATCCCACGCAAGCAGCGCTCGCATGGCAAGCGCGGCCGTCGTGGCCGCAACCGCTTTGTTGGCGCGCAGGGAGCTGGCATGGGCACGGAGAAGGACGCTGTCAAGCTCGATGCAGCTGCACGTGCTGCACGCAAGGCTGAATTCGATAAGCCTGCTGTTGTCGTGGTGTCCAGTAACTCGGGCATTCGTAAGTCCAAGAAGAAGAAACGCAGATAGAGGGAATGAATGCCAGTCCAGTAGAAGTTTTGGCGCGGTAGCAATTGCCTGCAGCGTACACATGCTACTTTTTACCATTCTTGAACAAACCTCTATCCTTTCTGCGTCTTGTAATCGTGTTTTCTTGTCTAGAATTAATGCTCCGTATCAGTTCTGCTTGCTGCCTTCACCCAAGCGTCATCGTTACAGTCGAGTGTCGTTCGCGTGCAGCTATAGAGACGACAATGTCGGCACGGAAAAGCCTGACATAATTGTTGACTAGACAGTCGTAAAGCTCGGTGCCTTCTCACGCAGATAAAAAAGCTTTGCACGACGAACGCGCTTCTTGCCTTTGTGAATGAAGGCCTCCTGCAACACCTTGACGCTCTGCAATAACGGCGAGTGCAGGAAAATCTTCTGCTCGTAACCAAAACCGCCAATGTGCTATAGATAAATAAGACCATCAAAAGACCACAATCAGTAAGTTATTAGGTCCATTCGTCTCAGCCATTTGTCAATGCGAGCGACTTACGTTGCGAATGACAAAGGAACTGCCTGTGCCACGGTTTCGTCGCGCCAATACAACGCCCTTAACACGCTGTACTCGTCCTCCTGTACGGCTCAATAAGTATTGCACCTCTACTGAGTCACCAGGTTTAAAATTCTCAATATTCTTTCCAACCGAAGCTTTCGCCACAGCCTCTGCTTCCAATTGCTGTAGTAGTGACGCCGCACGTTTGGTCGGGATCTTAAGCTTCGTGCGCTTTAATGGTTCAGTACTTGACTTTTCTAATGTCTCAGTAGAGAAAAGGAAAGTCTGTACACTCGGAAGAGGTACACGATGTATTTTAACTGCACGAGCGACTTGCGTGAAGCTCTTCGTAACAGCTGCCAACATGCTAATGAGATTAAGTCTTTCTAACACTTCTACGCTTCATGGCCATTCGAACATTATGTAATGTACATAAAAATGCTTTACCTAGAAGACATACATCAAGGTGTATTGAAATGTTTGCAAACAATTTTATATGCATGGCTACAGGATCAATCACGAGCTCAAGTAGCTATCGGACATTCGCGTGATAAGGAATGACAAACATATTCTACACATCTCGATTCAGATCATCGCTGTTATCAATGTCACTGCTGATGAGTGGTTGCTTGAGTTCATCGACTGCCGTACCTGCATGAATAGGTTGAGGCTTGTGCCACGAGTTGGTCATTTCGCCCATGAAACGGTACACAAAGAGTCCTAGCATTATAAAAACCAAGCCTGTAATATCTTTTGCGTGCAATGGCTGGTGTTCCGGCATGAACGGGAATGTAAACGCGACATTACCAAGAGGAACCATAATCGTCATGGCCTGTTCAACATATACTTGTGAGATGCAAGTTCAAATTCATACACCTCAATAGCCAAACCTATGAATCACGTACCAGCCATAATATGTTAGCACTACCAAACTTTAGAATCAGGATGATTAACAGATTGTAAGCCACGTTAAACAGTAAATATGCTGTCACATATATGGTCGCCTTTTCACAATCGTCCTTGTGAGCACCATCGGTAATTGTGTTTTGTCCCATGTAGCACATCAAGCCATCGTATAGATTTTCTGGTAGCTCACTCGGGCTAACTGGATGATCTCCTACCATGGCCGCAGGAAATGTCAAGGGAATTGCAAACAGGAACTGAAACACTGCAATCCAGCCATTCAAATAGACAGCGTCAAGCTCAGTCTCGCCAAGAGCCTTTTCCTTGTAAACGCTAGACAGACACATAGGAACGCAACTAAAGATCATGACGATGGACCACAGCACCAACATGTGTGAACTGGTGCCAGTGTGGCTACTTGAATCCCCTGAACCCAGCACAATGAGTAAACCCAACGAAACAACCACCGCACCCACATATTGATAGCTTGAGTACTTGGCTTTCAACAATAGGCTCGAAATCAGCATTGAAATGGGGATTGCAGCCTGGCCCAATAAAATAAGAAGTGAGCCACCCAAATAGGTCGCTGCAAATACTTGCAAGATGCCAGCAATCGAATCAAGTCCTCCCATGACGGCAAACTTTCGCTTAGGAATACTGCGTTGATCCCACGTGATTGCATTACCATACTTGATCATCGGTAAAATGTATGCAAAACTGATGGGAATCTGCCAATGCAGTAAGAATAATGTAGCAAAAGGGCACAAAACAGAATGAATGATTTGGCCATTGGATGAGTCAGGAAACAACGTACGTAGACAAACGTAGTAAGTAGATTGAGAAACGTCGGGTAGTTGTGCATCGGGATAGTCTGGAGTCTATTACGTTATATACAATCGTTAGGCTTTAGAAGAGATACAAAGCAGCACGTTGTTATGAGAAGACGATACTTACTTTTGAAAGACTATTCATTACATTTAAGAAGCAAAATCGTCATTAATAATGTGAGTAGAAACATTCGATAATATGTATTTACGACTACTTTGAAATATGACATGTCTTACTTTTATTGCCAAGTCCTACGAACACCATAGCTATAAAGCTTACAAGGAGCTTTAGATCACGTTCTGTTTTCATCTTTGTTGTCATCTTCCAAAATGGAGCTCTTGTTTTTTGTATCCATGACAAAAGTGTTTGAGGTAGTTCTTAAGTAGATCTTAAGTCCCGCAAGACCTGCTTCTAACAAAGACTGAATTCAATGAGGAATGTCGCACTTGGTGGCGTAGTGTTCCTGACTTCACTAGTAGTTACGGGATGGATTGCTCTAGCGTGGATACTCACCCCTTGCTTCTTGTTAGTTGTGCTACCCTTGCCAAAGTTTCTCCAGATAAAACGATTCTACCGCTGCACCACTCGCTTCATGTGCGTTTCAGATTCGACACTAACGTCATGGACTGACGAGATTGTAAGAATATTGAATAAATCCCTTGTATATTGTTGCTATATGCATGGAACAGACAATGGGCATGGATGGGTCATGTGGTTTTGCTACTAGGTGAATAGATGAACAGATTTTAGTGCTGACGTTGCCACTGCTAGACGCTCACCATGCATGTTGTCGTGTAGAAACCCTTTTTGGTATTCAGGTGCGTGTTTACGGTAACGCAGAGACAAAAGCTCACGAGCACATCATGGCCCAAGATCGAGCAATCTGGTTATCAAATCATCGTACTCGCATTGACTGGATGCTCTTGTGGACCCTTGCGTGGCGGACGCGCACATTACACCAATTGCGGATTGTCTTGAAAGCCCCACTGCGCAATATCCCCATCTTCGGCTGGGCCATGCAACACTTTGTCTTCATTTTTCTTGTACGGGTGGTCGCTGTTCTTTCTAGCTTTCAAAGACAACCTACGTGCATTCTTCTAAACTGTCGCTGTTTGTTTCTGCTTGGTGCAGGAGCGCCGCTGGGCAGAAGACCAGATGAAGCTGCGTAAGTTGCTGCCGTACCTCACAGCGACAGAGCCAAAGGCTTCCTACCTTCTTTTCCCGGAAGGCACAGATCTCAGTGAAAGCAATTTGGAAAAAAGCCGCTCTTTTTGCTGACAAGAACGGTCTTCCGCCGCGTCAATTTTCTTTGTACCCGCGCACAAGGGGTTGGACCTTTGTATTTCCGTTGCTGCGGTCACAGCTCACGGCCGTGTATGATATCACCATGTTTTATGTGGATTACGCTGCTAACGAACGTCCATCAGAGCTATCGCTCCTAACTGGGCGTGTGCCACGAATAATCTGTTTTTATGTCGAGCGAGTGGACATTACGACCATGCGCGAGAAAAGTGAGAATGAGCTCGAGGTCTGGATGGAAAAGCGCTTTGAGCGTAAAGAGTTGCTGCTCAAGACATTTTACGAGTCAAATGGCAAGCTACCAAACGGGGCAGAGCCTCTTTTCCAGGAAGGTCAAGGACCTGTTATCGCCGCGTTAGTGCTGATTTGGTTCGTGTTGATTAGTATCACCACAATTTGCGGCCTGTTTGGCAACTTGGGATCACTCATAGCTGCCGTGGCGATAATTGTTGGTTACAGCATCATCACTGCTTACGGCTCGGGCGTTGATGGGTACTTGATAAAAAACTTGTAAGTGTCATCATTTTTTAGAGAACTCGGTAAGGACCAGTCGCATGGCTTTAGTGAAGAATATTCTAGTACGGTTGTATTCAATGTTATTAGGAATCAACATATCAAGTATGTGGAAGTACTCACTGTGGCAAACAGGTAGAAGTCAAGCACAGCGATCGTCCAAGTAAAGCGTAATCAGTGGATATCATACAGGTAGAACTGAGATCTGTCGAGCCTTACAAGGCAGTACCTTAGGCAGGACTTAGCCGAAGAGTGCCGTACTCTATAACACGAAACGTGTGTGCAAGCCAGGCTTGCTGGCTGTCAAAGCCATAGTGAAAGGCCTTGATGAACCATGGGCGATATTGATCGATTCCGGGGCGTCGCGGCGCTTGTCCTTAGAAGGAAGGCAACAGTATGCTGAGGGGCTAAAAAAAGCTCAGATGAATGACACTATCATTTATATAGCGACGGGAGTGAGGGTTACGGTGGCCAAGGTTCCTATGAGCTTGGTGGCAAAGTTCTTAGACTTTGATTGCGTTGAACGCTGTCTGGTCCTTGACCTGAATGCTAGATGTGATCTCATCCTAGGCATGACCTGGATTGAACGCCATAAGCCACAAGTTGATTGAAAGGTCTAAGACCTTTAGCGTTACGCGCCTTGTTCCTAGTGTAGCTCTGGTGAGTAATGTTGGAATAACAATCGACACAGCACTGACCAAAGTGGTCTTGACCATTTCTGGTGAAGTGGTATCACAATAGGTTATGAGTCCAAGCTCACTAGACTCTGCCTCCGCCGCCATTGACTCGCACAACTCCGCCATGGACTCTTCAGCAACGCGTATAAACTAGATAGATGGAACAAACTTTGATGCGTGAAAATTCAAGATGCGGATGGTGCTTGAGGAGTGGATTCTGTGCGGGGATGTCAAGATCGAAGCAACATTCAAGCGAAATTCGCGCAAGGCGATGGCTGTCATCTGCCTGGCTATTGAAGATTCGCAGTTGCCGTTGGTTCGCTCGGCGGATGGTGTATTTGATGCATGGGAAAAGTTAAAAGACCATTTCGAGAAGAAGAGCGTCGTTTCTTTACAACTATGATAGAAGGTGATAATGTGCTCGGTCACATTAACAAGATTAAAACACTGGCGGACGTCATGGCTGAACTAATGCAGACGGCTCATGTACGGTCGCCATGGCGCAAATACCGCGTGGTACACGTGAACAGCTGTATGGTACGCCAATGGTGCTACCTATTGCTGCTGTTGTTCGTGTCAATGCGGGAACCGCGTTGGGGAGGCAGCGATTTGATCAGACTTGAAGTCGCAATATCTGTGAAAACAAGAGGCTGTAGGACAGCTTGACGCAGTCAGCGCTTCCTACAGCCGCGAAGATGACTTGGTGATTACGCTTCTTGACAGCCTACGTTATTCGTACCAGTTGCTTATTACGGCTTTGGATTCACGTGCCGACGCGCTGACGTGGGAAATTGTAACGGCTTGGCTGCTGCACGAAGACTTGAAGCGCAAGGAACAAGTTGGTGGTGTAAATGGAGTCACGCACAGCCAAGGTCAAGCATTCATGACCAACAATCACCGAAAGAACAGAGGAGGGCAGTAGATGAAGAAGGTCAGCCAATGTCATTACTATGACAAACAAGGACATTTGATTGCCTAGTGTCCTGTGAGTATCTGTAAAAGTGCGGAACGGCAGAGGTCGCATGGAACAAGTGTCGGGCATACTACAGATAAACCTGGCGAATTCTTGTTTTCAGTTATTGGTGAATCTGCTCCAGCGAGTGACATCGGGTTTATCGACTTAGGTGCGACGCAGCACATGACGTACTCGAGGAAGTACATGAAAAACTACAAACGGATTTCGCCGGTAGACGTGCAGCTCGCGGATGAATTTTTTTTCAAGCCGTGGGGACGGGCGACATCGTCATGACACTGCAGACTACGTCGAAAGTAAAAAGGGCGTCATTACCGGTGTGTAGTATATTCCCAAGATGTCACGAAACCTGTTCTATGTAGTTCGTTTTACGAGAGATGTTGGCTCTGTCACGCTCAAGGCCGACAAGTGCTTTGCGGAGGCGATGAACATGACATGGCAGCTACGTGCACGCATAGGCAAGGGTCTGTTCAAGTTGTGCATGACGCCTCTTTTCTGCCTGACGAGGCAAATGTGTCTAGCTCGACGGGTCACCAGCGGGGTGTCACGTCGTACATCAGGCACCTTCGGCTTGGTAACCTCGGCCGTGGCGGTTAAGAACCATCGTAAAGAAGGATTATGGTGCTGGCATCGACATCACGTCGGTAAAGCAGTGAAAGATGTGTGAGGGGTGTGCTCTGGGCAAGCAAACGCGAGAAAGATATACCTAGATCACCACGTCAAGCAGCAAATCTGCTCGAAGTCATCTACACTACGTTTGCGACCCAATGCAGACACATACTTTTGGCGGCTTCTGGTACTTCGTTACATTCACTGACGAATACTTGCATATATGCGTGGTGTATTTGCTACGAAAAAAGTCCGATGTGGCAGCCAAATTGCAAAATTTACTGCTTCTACAGACTTTGACAGGCAACCGGGTCAAAAGTGATAATGGAAGAGAAACCAAGTCGAGTGAAAAAAATAAAGTTCTGCAGCATCCGCGGTATCGTGCAGAAGTACACGCCTCCATACAATCCTGAGCTCGGTAAAGTCGCAGCGCGGATGAACTGGACATTGGTGAAATGTGCTTGTTGCATGTTGGAGCATGCCGGATTGTCCAAGGCGTAATAGGGCGAAGCAATAATGATTGCTACATTTCTTCGTAACTGATGCCCGACGCGTTCCACTAGTCAGGATAAGTCGCTGCACCAAGGTCTGGACCGGTAAGAAACCGCTACTGGCGAACCTGAACGTTTTCGGTCGCCATGCGTATGTAACGGTACCAAAGCAGCAACGCGGCAAACTCGATGCCCGCTTGATATGCTGCCGATTCATCGGCTATACGAAGGCGATAAATCATAGCGGTTTGAAGAGGTTGCAGCCGTCGCATTGTAATAAGTCGTGATGCGCAATTTATGGAAGATGTCTTAACAGATAATTGACGCTGCTATAGCGACGAAAACTAGTTATAAACTTATTCGTAAATATTCTGGATGAAAAAGGCCACGGATCACGAATCACCATCTCAACCGAATATCGCTGGTAATGACGAAGACACTGCGCCTGGGCCCAAGCATCATGCCCGAACTCCTTCGTTAGAGCACGCAGTTAGAATTCCGGCCGCAAGAGGCAAACTCGTTCACAAATAAGACGAGCTATGCCAGCATTTGAGCGGACACCGTACGATCTTCACGCAACGCATACTATAGGTTCACTGGGAAAAACGACGCCGACATTCAAGTCGGCGATGAAATCTAGCAATGCTTTAAGTAGCATGGCTTCCGACAACGCCATGTACTCTGCTTCCGTAGACGATAGTGCTACAGTTCGTTGCTTCTTGCTGCGCCAACTCACACATCCGCCGTTCATCATGAATGCGTATCCGCTCGTGCTGCGTCGAGATTCCACATTGCCTGCCCAGTCTGCATCCGAATAGCCGCGAAGACCGTCCGTATCACTCGCTTGAAACTCGATGCCGTGTGTCTTTGTGCCTTGGATGTACCGGAATACTCGCTTGAGTGCCTGCCAATGCGTGGGGCATGGATCCCGAAGCAAACTGACTGAGAGCTCCCACTGCAGCCGCAAGGTCCGAGCGTGTTCCCACCATCAAGTACATCAGGCAACCGACGGCACTTCGATATGGTACACCTGCCATGGTTTCGTCGTGGTGGCAGCCACCCTCGCACATGTTCTTCGTCAACTTGAGTCCAGGGTCTTGTGGAGTCTTCACAGGTTTGCTGTCCTGCATGCCGAATTTGGTCAGGATGGTCTGCGCGAACTTGGACTGTCGCAGCGATACTTCTCCAGCCGCGAGGTTCTGCTTGATCTCCATCCCGAGGAAGTACTTGAGTTCGCCGAGATCCGTCATCTCAAACCTATCGCTGAGAGCACTCTTGGTCGACTTCATCAGCTCGTCATTACTGCTCGCGATGATCAAGTCGTCCACATAGAGCACCACGAAAATCATGTCGTCGCCTTCCCGCTTGACGTACACGCAGTGATCCGACTCGCACTTGGCGAACTCCATCTTCAGCATGAAATCGTCGATGGTCTGGTTCCACATGCGCGGCGACTGCTTTAGTCCGTACAGCGAGCGCTTGAGCTTGCACACGTAGTCCGGATGGTCTTCATCAACGTAGCCGTCTGGCTGCTCCATGTAGATATCTTCATCCAGCTCACCGTTCAGGAACGCAGTCTTCACATCCATCTGGTGCAACTTGAGTCCGTACTTCGCAGCTAAACTGAGCACGATTCGGATCGATGTGAACTTGGCCACTGGTGCAAACGTCTCGTCATAGTCGATGCCGTTGGTGGTGGGGCGCTGCTCCCACCACCAACCGAGAAGAGATAGTCACCGGCATCCTCGTCCTCGCGCGCCACATTCGCACGCTGTGACCGCTGTCGGTTGTTGTTGTTGTCTTGGATCCGCGAAGGACACTCTGCGATCCAATGTCCTTGCTTGCCGCAGTAGTTGCATGCTCCGACCTTCTTCTTCTCCGGACGCCCTCTGCGCTTGTTGTTGTCACTAGTCATGAACGCTTGACCTTGCGCAGTTCCTTCGGCACCGCCACCTTGTTCCTTGCGCTTCATGTCTTCATGTAATAGCCGAGACGTCACGAGTTCCCATGTCAGCGTGTCAGCTCTCGACTCCAACGCCGTGATGAGGAACTGGTACGATTCACTCAGACTTCCAAGAAGCGTGATCACCAAGTCGTCCTCACTGACCGGAGCGCCGACCGCGTCGAGCTGCTCCGCCAGAGTCTTGAGCTTGTTAATGTGCTCCAGCACATCATCACCTTCGTCCATCATCGTCGTGAAGAAACGTCGACGAAGGAAGAGCTTGTTGGCCAGGCTCCTCTTCTCGAAGTG